CACAAAAACAGGAGAACGGTACAAAAGCGGACCACTGAGGGAACAGCTACTCGCCGGAACAATGGAACAATGGGAGGATCGAAATGGACCAATTACAGGCGACCTTTGTGATATAAATGATACCGTGCAATCAGTCGACCTTATTGCCTGAAGAAGGCTAGCAGTAAGCAGTCGAAACGTCGCGATCTACATCTCAAGTGACTACATCGTGAGACAAACGATAATACACTTTATTAATAAAAATATATATATATATCTATTCCTTGAAGTGGACATATCTTCGCGGTTGCAGTCTGCATAAATGACCTCTGGAGATGTAATAGTTTCAACATAACATGTCTAACTTAAGCATCCACTCTCAATTTGTGCTTTTTCGTAGAGAAATATTTATAGTAAGCCGATTTAGTAACACATTTGGATTCAAAACTAACTTGAAAAAAAGTAAAATAGTTTTGCCTCGTTTTTATGCCCCGTATTTGGGTCAGTTATTTAAAGCTGCAATTTTCACGGTTAAAAACTTAAAATCAGGCCTGGTAAACATTTTTTTCGTGTTCAGCGCATAATGCTCATCTAAAAAAGTGTGTTTACCAACTTTTCCTCGAGTTTTCCGACAGACGTTTAAAATAGCAGGCTTTCTTGTAATTTGCCCCAGTCTAAACAGTGTAAAACCCGCACACAATCGGGAAAGTAAAGTTTAAGATGGCGCACAGCAGTTTTAAGCCCCCCCCCCCCCCCTTTTTGTAATGAATGTATGTAACCATTCTTATCCAGCTTATGCTGTAGTAAAAGCCTTATCTTTTTTAAACAAGTTATGCTCATTTTCATATTTTGTAATCATCGTTCTTGTTGTAAGAGGAACGACTTAGCGATGAACTTGAAGGTGATCAAAATAAGTTTAATATGTCGTAACAAATTTGAAAAGCAGAAGTTTCGAGTGTTAGTGTATAGTTAATCTTTTGTATCGTCTAGCTATAAAACTCTTCGTGTAAAACCAGAAAAAAAAAATTCTGCGATTCCCTTTTTCCGCCCTTTCATAACGGGGTACTCCGCCTTTCGGGGATTTAAAGAAATAGATTTTATTTGCCACCAAATAAAAGCGTTTATGGCTTCTACCCACGCCCCTGGTGTTACTTTAAACACAGTGTTAATTTTCAACCAGGAGTTTAAGATAACGAAGAAAGGCTGGGAGTACTGAAAGGCCGAACTAAATGGGGACGGGGTCACCAAGCACAAACTTAATTGAGCAATAATCACAAGACCATCACAAGACAATCTTGTGACTTCGATGACAATGGCGAATTCATTTGTAATAGTCACGAGTTTTACTGGAAACTAACTTAGCCTCCCTTTCAGCGATCGGTAGAAGACGTGGCATGTTTCTCGAGTTCGTCCTCTTTGTCTCCAGACCTGACACACTCAGCGAGTTCGACCCTCCTCCTCCCTTCCTCCACCTCATTTATATTATGTATTTGTGATATAGGCACTTCTCCTTTTTTCTCCTGCCCTCACCTTTGCAAGAGCTTAACAAATAATAATTCGTTCATATTGTATTTTATATTAGTTTTAATCAATAAATCGGCCATTCTGCGTGGCCAAAATTTATCCTAACAACGACTTGTCCGGTTTCGATTTCTTTAAGCGCTCTAGAAGAAAAAGCTCGACTGTTGACCTAGAAAATTTGGCATAGGTGCAGCTTCATAGTTATAATTTTGGAAACAAGGGAAGAAGACATAAAAATGCATTTCACACCCGCGAAACATCAGGACAAAAATTGTTGGCTGTGAACACGTACACGTTTTATTTAGCTTCATCTGCGAGTGCAACGAATGTTTTTCGCCATAAGATAAAAAATATAAATTATCAAATAATACAATAGAGTAAAATATTTATTTACAAAACCGTTCATATCATGTAAAAATATGCCGTCAAGAAAAATGAATACAATTCTTTTTACCTGGACTTAAATCGATATTTTTCTTATCTCTCTTAATGAAGCAGAGAAAATTCAATTTGTTCAATAATTTAAATACGTGAGCTATTTTCTTTTAGTCTGCTTTTTACTCAATTAATGATGAATGTGTCAATTAAATTTCGCACAGCGAAATTTCGTTTTTTCAAGGCCGGTATTGAGAACAATAGGAACCGTGAAGACGACTAGTAAAATATGCTTGAAAGTAAGCATACAATTGCACTGAGACATAGAGAACCAAATGTTCCGCCTAATGTAAGTCCGCCAGACGAAAGCAACTGGTCCATCTCGAGACCTTGTAGTCTGTCTTTTTCTACAATGTCGATTGCATTTTCAAATTCCTCAACTACTTTCTCAGAGTCTTTGTCATCAAAGTCTTCCACATATGTGTCGTCACTGTCCATGTCTGCAGTATTATCTCCGTCACTTTCGTTGCCGTCCTCGCCGCTCTCTTCATTTTCATCTTCACTATCTTCTTCCGACTCCTCGCCACTTTCATCACTATCGCCATTGTCATTTTCATCGTCATTCTCTTCGTGGGACTCTTCGCCCCTTTCATCGTTATTTCCGTCACTGTTGTCATCTCCCGAATCCTCGTCATTATCTACCTCATCTTCAGTCTCACTGTCATCTCCATCACTACTATCATCATCAGGTTCATCGTCATTTCCATCACCATCATCATCTCTAGACTCACCACTCTCATCGTCATCTTCATCACTGTTGTCAACACCAGGCTCATCGCCATCTCCATCACTGTTCTCATCACCAGGCTCATCGTCATCTCCATCACCGCTGTCATCACCAGGCTCATCGTTATTCTCGCCACCGTCATCATCACCGGGCTCATCGTCATCTCCATCAACGCTGTCATCATCAGGCTCATTGTCATCTCCATCACCGCTGTCATCATCAGGCTCGTCGTCATCTCCATCACCGCTATCATCATCAGGCTCATCGTTATTCTCACCACCGTCATCATCACCGGGCTCATCGTCATCTCCATCAACGCTGTCATCATCAGGCTCATTGTCATCTCCATCACCGCTGTCATCATCAGGCTCGTCGTCATCTCCATCACCGCTATCATCATCAGGCTCATCGTTATTCTCACCACCGTCATCATCACCGGGCTCATCGTCATCTCCATCAACGCTGTCATCATCAGGCTCATTGTCATCTCCATCACCGCTGTCATCATCAGGCTCGTCGTCATCTCCATCACCGCTATCATCATCAGGCTCATCGTTATTCTCACCACCGTCATCATCACCGGGCTCATCGTCATCTCCATCAACGCTGTCATCATCAGGCTCATTGTCATCTCCATCACCGCTGTCATCATCAGGCTCGTCGTCATCTCCATCACCGCTATCATCATCAGGCTCATCGTTATTCTCACCACCGTCATCATCACCGGGCTCATCGTCATCTCCATCAACGCTGTCATCATCAGGCTCATTGTCATCTCCATCACCGCTGTCATCATCAGGCTCGTCGTCATCTCCATCACCGCTATCATCATCAGGCTCATCGTTATTCTCACCACCGTCATCATCACCGGGCTCATCGTCATCTCCATCAACGCTGTCATCATCAGGCTCATTGTCATCTCCATCACCGCTGTCATCATCAGGCTCGTCGTCATCTCCATCACCGCTATCATCATCAGGCTCATCGTTATTCTCACCACCGTCATCATCACCGGGCTCATCGTCATCTCCATCAACGCTGTCATCATCAGGCTCATTGTCATCTCCATCACCGCTGTCATCATCAGGCTCGTCGTCATCTCCATCACCGCTATCATCATCAGGCTCATCGTTATTCTCACCACCGTCATCATCACCGGGCTCATCGTCATCTCCATCAACGCTGTCATCATCAGGCTCATTGTCATCTCCATCACCGCTGTCATCATCAGGCTCGTCGTCATCTCCATCACCGCTATCATCATCAGGCTCATCGTTATTCTCACCACCGTCATCATCACCGGGCTCATCGTCATCTCCATCAACGCTGTCATCATCAGGCTCATTGTCATCTCCATCACCGCTGTCATCATCAGGCTCGTCGTCATCTCCATCACCGCTATCATCATCAGGCTCATCGTTATTCTCACCACCGTCATCATCACCGGGCTCATCGTCATCTCCATCAACGCTGTCATCATCAGGCTCATTGTCATCTCCATCACCGCTGTCATCATCAGGCTCGTCGTCATCTCCATCACCGCTATCATCATCAGGCTCATCGTTATTCTCACCACCGTCATCATCACCGGGCTCATCGTCATCTCCATCAACGCTGTCATCATCAGGCTCATTGTCATCTCCATCACCGCTGTCATCATCAGGCTCGTCGTCATCTCCATCACCGCTATCATCATCAGGCTCATCGTTATTCTCACCACCGTCATCATCACCGGGCTCATCGTCATCTCCATCAACGCTGTCATCATCAGGCTCATTGTCATCTCCATCACCGCTGTCATCATCAGGCTCGTCGTCATCTCCATCACCGCTATCATCATCAGGCTCATCGTTATTCTCACCACCGTCATCATCACCGGGCTCATCGTCATCTCCATCAACGCTGTCATCATCAGGCTCATTGTCATCTCCATCACCGCTGTCATCATCAGGCTCGTCGTCATCTCCATCACCGCTATCATCATCAGGCTCATCGTTATTCTCACCACCGTCATCATCACCGGGCTCATCGTCATCTCCATCAACGCTGTCATCATCAGGCTCATTGTCATCTCCATCACCGCTGTCATCATCAGGCTCGTCGTCATCTCCATCACCGCTATCATCATCAGGCTCATCGTTATTCTCACCACCGTCATCATCACCGGGCTCATCGTCATCTCCATCAACGCTGTCATCATCAGGCTCATTGTCATCTCCATCACCGCTGTCATCATCAGGCTCGTCGTCATCTCCATCACCGCTATCATCATCAGGCTCATCGTTATTCTCACCACCGTCATCATCACCGGGCTCATCGTCATCTCCATCAACGCTGTCATCATCAGGCTCATTGTCATCTCCATCACCGCTGTCATCATCAGGCTCGTCGTCATCTCCATCACCGCTATCATCATCAGGCTCATCGTTATTCTCACCACCGTCATCATCACCGGGCTCATCGTCATCTCCATCAACGCTGTCATCATCAGGCTCATTGTCATCTCCATCACCGCTGTCATCATCAGGCTCGTCGTCATCTCCATCACCGCTATCATCATCAGGCTCATCGTTATTCTCACCACCGTCATCATCACCGGGCTCATCGTCATCTCCATCAACGCTGTCATCATCAGGCTCATTGTCATCTCCATCACCGCTGTCATCATCAGGCTCGTCGTCATCTCCATCACCGCTATCATCATCAGGCTCATCGTTATTCTCACCACCGTCATCATCACCGGGCTCATCGTCATCTCCATCAACGCTGTCATCATCAGGCTCATTGTCATCTCCATCACCGCTGTCATCATCAGGCTCGTCGTCATCTCCATCACCGCTATCATCATCAGGCTCATCGTTATTCTCACCACCGTCATCATCACCGGGCTCATCGTCATCTCCATCAACGCTGTCATCATCAGGCTCATTGTCATCTCCATCACCGCTGTCATCATCAGGCTCGTCGTCATCTCCATCACCGCTATCATCATCAGGCTCATCGTTATTCTCACCACCGTCATCATCACCGGGCTCATCGTCATCTCCATCAACGCTGTCATCATCAGGCTCATTGTCATCTCCATCACCGCTGTCATCATCAGGCTCGTCGTCATCTCCATCACCGCTATCATCATCAGGCTCATCGTTATTCTCACCACCGTCATCATCACCGGGCTCATCGTCATCTCCATCAACGCTGTCATCATCAGGCTCATTGTCATCTCCATCACCGCTGTCATCATCAGGCTCGTCGTCATCTCCATCACCGCTATCATCATCAGGCTCATCGTTATTCTCACCACCGTCATCATCACCGGGCTCATCGTCATCTCCATCAACGCTGTCATCATCAGGCTCATTGTCATCTCCATCACCGCTGTCATCATCAGGCTCGTCGTCATCTCCATCACCGCTATCATCATCAGGCTCATCGTTATTCTCACCACCGTCATCATCACCGGGCTCATCGTCATCTCCATCAACGCTGTCATCATCAGGCTCATTGTCATCTCCATCACCGCTGTCATCATCAGGCTCGTCGTCATCTCCATCACCGCTATCATCATCAGGCTCATCGTTATTCTCACCACCGTCATCATCACCGGGCTCATCGTCATCTCCATCACCGCTGTCATCATCAGGCTCATCGTCATCTCCATCAACGCTGTCATCATCAGGTTCATTGTCATCTCCATTACCGCTGTCATCATCAGGCTCGTCGTCATCTCCATCACCACTATCATCATCAGGCTCATCGTTATCTTCGTCATCGTCGTCATCACCAGTCTCGTCGTCATCTCCATCACCGCTATCATCATCAAGCTCATCGTCATCTCCATCAACGCTGTCATCATCAGGTTCATTGTCATCTCCATTACCGCTGTCATCATCAGGCTCGTCGTCATCTCCATCACCACTATCATCATCAGGCTCATCGTTATCTTCGTCATCGTCGTCATCACTAGTCTCGTCGTCATCTCCATCACCGCTATCATCATCAAGCTCATCGTCATCTCCATCAGCACCGTCATCATCAGGTTCATCATCATCTCCATCACCGCTGTCATTATCAGGCTCATCGTCATCTCCATCACCGCTGTCATCACCAGGCTCATCATCATCTTCGCCGCCGTCATCATCTCCATCACCGCTGTCATTATCAGGCTCATCGGTATTTTCATCACCGTTATCATCTTCAGCACTTTCATCTTCATCTCCATCACCGCTGTCATCTCCAGAGTCTTCACTAGTTTCGTCATCCTCAATTACCTTGTCATTTGCATTATCTGAATATGAAATAGTGCCAATTTACTCGCAGAAATATGGAATCACATTTAAATAACTCATGCAGTTAATAACGTAATATTTTGATTCCCGAAGATCCAATGGAATGTCTTTGTGGATTCGGGTAGAGTATAGCGTTGACTGTTTTCGCTTTGCATCTGTACAAAACAATTAACCACAGTCCGCCCCAAAACTTGACGATTTTCATATATTAAGCGTAATTGGAAATATCTTAGGCTACTTAACGATCTAGGTAAAATAAGTAAATGCTAGAAATTTTATTCAATTCAATTATACTGCCCTACGGATGGAAAATGTTTTGTGCGGTTAGGAAACTTTCTTTTAGTAGTTGTTCAAAATATGCTATCAAAATATCAAAAGTGTAAAAAGAATGGATGGGGAAGGTATATAATATTTTATCTGGATTGAAAACCTCGCATCGAAGAGTCAGTGGCAAATTTAAGTAACCGCCCTAGAATATTGGCACCAAAGGAGTTACTACGTGGAATAGAAACATGCTATATCGAAAACATTTTTTGCAGGCAGGGGTTTTTCGGTTCCAATCCTTATTGATATTTTTGTTTTTGTCTCGGAGAAATCGGCAACAGCTTTTACTCAGGAGACTAAAAGATAAAACCAGTCAGTTTGAATATCTCACCATCAACGTCGTCTCCACTTTCATCTTCTACACTTTCCTCCTCGGTACTTCCGTCGTCACTGCCACTTCCACCACTTTCATCTTCGCCACTGCCACTTTCGTCCATGACATCTTTGAAAAATAAAACGTTTAGTGGTGTCAAAGTTGAACCGGAATAGTGAATTGTACAAGGCGTTTTGATCTAGGACATTTGAATAATGCGGCAACGTTGAAGTTAACTTATACGGCCATAGTGAAAACAATATCTTAAAACTTTACTCTTGGCAATCAAGTCAGCTCGTATTTAAACTAACGAAAATTATGGCCAACCAAATTTGGAAGTGAAAGTTGTTTCAAACGCTAGTCAGTTAACAAAATCTAAACTATCAATAAAGTGATTGTACTAATAACTTGTGAGGAAAGAAATAATGCGGTATTTAAGTCATAATCCTGTTGTATATATTCATTTCATTTCAAACAAAATATATTTAAATCTATCAAAGAAATACGTTAAGCACAGCTACGACATGAGGCACACTCTGTTTTCTTTAATAAATTTTGTTCAGATCCAAAATAATTACATGCCAGTCTCAAATCAAGCTCACGTTTTCGACTTGTAGTCAGAAACTGAAATTTAAAGGATACAAAAGAAATAATACATATATTAACATCTTACCATTTTGCATAGGTAAAGGTAAACTCCAGAGTGGTGTGAACAAAGCCACAAGACAAAGAATAAGCAAGACTTTGGAGGCCATAAATATATCTTCTGCTCTTCAATGTTCCCTGTGCAAGTGTACCTGGTTAATGATTTCGTACGCGTTTACATTAGCGCTTATATGCTTCTTGAGTTAGAGGCAAAATGCTGATATTTCTCTGGTACTTGAGATATTGCAATGTTTGTTAAAGAAGGCGGAGGAATATTGTTAAACATTAAAGCAGATGAGAATCTAAGATATCGCGAAACTGATTTAGAAACACTTAGACCACATTTACTAAGAAAAGAAATAAAAAAAGTCAATACCTTGGATTAATTGTGACGCAGCTCCCTAATCTCAAATATAGTAAAACTTGACGAAAATCAAAGTTGTTTCCTTGGCAAGACGTTTTCCCAATATTCGCCTCCTCTTTATTGTTTCCATAGCAAAACTTGTGTACACAGCAAAGCTATCTTTTAAATATAATATAGCACACGTTGTTAAAATACCTTTTCTTTGCGGCAGTTTCAATTACCTAGTGTTGTTATCTTTTGCACTCATTGGATTTTACTAGCACTCACGCTATCTATTCTGTTCATAGCTCGAGTAAGTAACGCTGAAATGAATTGAAATATTTCTTATCAGTAACACCCATAAAAAGGTCATGCCAAAGATAGTTCAAAATATGGCTATACTGAATCTTCTGCCCACGTAACACGTCACTATTCAGCATTTTTCGTAGACACCGAAACAGCATGTAACACCTTTCTTAATTTAATTGTTAAGGACTATTTTAATAACAATATCCTTCTAAAATAAATTTTTGATATTCAGCGAGTACCGCGGCCAATAGCATTAACGATTCACACGTATCCGGTTTTAGAAGGGCCCGCCGGCCCATTAATAATGTTTTTGATTTTGCGGCTTTGTATCCAAGGGAAGACAAAAACTCACCATGGATATGCCCAACACTTCCTTTCAATGTATATTGTTTGTTTTGGTGTTGCTAGGTGAATACATGACAATAACAAAATGACTAATTTCCGTATTTTATCAAAATGAAGGTAAGCATTTGCTTTTCACCGTTACCAGAACCTACCTTCGAACAAAAAATGCCTGAAAAAATCAAAATAACACTCTTTAAATATATTTTGTAAAGGAAGTCGAGATGATTACAGAAGTATAACGCATGAAAATCAGTGTCAGCTTATTTTAAGGTCTCCTTGGGTAGTTGTGTGGAGTGTTCGAGAAACAATTAAACTCACACTTTCATTCGCATATCAATGTTGGGTTTTTATAAATATCCATAGTATTTCTCTCATATCACTGAAAACTTAATGTACATTATAATACAAGGTTCTAAACTGTAAATGGCTGTCTTCGAATTTTAGAACTACGAAGAGGAACAATGATCACTGATATGATTTATGTTCATCGCCAAATGTTTCACCAATGCGACATTTTGTCTACTAGCCAAAGAGGGTAAAATTTTTAATGATTTACGTATCTTTGATTGTGGTAGGCGAGACCTTGTTACTTATTTCAGGTGTTAGCCCAAGAGTAGTTTTTACGTTGCAGTGTTTCTTCGACACAGGTGATATTTCCAATCAAATCAATGCGAATTAGGGCGGTCGTTTTCTTACGGACAGATCAGAATCTTTAGAATAGCCATTTTTATAGTGCCAGTTGCATGCTTGAACATCAGCTTCAGCGAACGCAGAGGCATAACTCGAATCTTGATATAACTTTATCTAACGCTTCATTGATCACTCATGGCATTTCCATCATCGAGTCTTTTGCCAGTCCCGACAATTCCCGCATGCATTGCCTTAGTAAAAGGGAGAACAAATGAACTTCAGCACTTAACCTAAAGTGACTTTCAAAAAGAGCATTTAAACGACGACGAACTTAGAATGATCCGGATACCAGCAAAACCAACGAATTGCAAAATAAGGAAGAAAAATATTACGATCAAATTAAAATGGTAAAGACCAATTAATAACCCTATTTAGAAACCAACTGAAGGCGAACGCTGCGGCTAATACTTTATACCAAAATGGACAAACATTTTTTCAATTTATCCCCAGTCAGTAGAAGACCATTCCACCTTTGCGAAGCCTGTTGAAGAAGGATCTTACATGGATCTGGTCTGACGAGCACATGTAGTCACTTGAGCATTTGAAGCAGATCTTGTCAAGTCAGCCTGTTTTGAAGTTAGTTGATCCCTCTGAGCTAGTCAAGTTGCAAGTGGATACTTCGAAGTCAGACCCCGGAGGTTGCATCCGCCAGGATGGGCCCGATTGCTTATGGATCACGGTCTCTTAACCATGCAGAAGAACGCTATGCCCAGGCAGAGAAGGACCTTCTTGCAGTTGTATTTGGTTGTGAGAGATTCAATTATTATATATATAATAAACCAGTAGACGGTTGATTTAAAATGGTTCCACAGCCCTGTTAAGATATTAGGGATATATTTTTCGTATAATATTAAAGAGCACAACGAGCTCAACTTCGACAAAAAGATCCGAAAGTTGTAAACGTTGGATATGTGGAGTTTACGGGATTTGACGATATTTGGAAGAGCCGTGTTAATTAAAAACTTGGGTATATCGCAACTTGTCTATTCGGCCTCTAATCTAGATGTTTCCAGAGGAATTGCGAACATTGTAAGAACAAAATCTTTCAAGTTCCTTTGGAAAAACAAAAAAAAAAAGGATAAAATAAAAAGATCGGGCTATTACCAAGATTCAGACAACAGTGGAATACACATGATCGATTTTTATATTGTGTTAAAAGCCCTCAAACTCGCCTGGATCCTGAGACTGTTGCGAAATTCGGACAATAGTAATTGATGTATTATTCCAAAACATTTTTTCAGAAGAAATGGAGGGTTAAACTTTCTACTAAGCAACTACTACAAGAATTACTTTAACGACCTCCCGCTCTTCTATAAGAAGATACTGGACTTCTTCAACGAATTAAAAGCTCTTTACCCCTACGATCAAAAGTAGGAGTTAATATTGTTTAATAACAAAGATATATTGGTGGACGGAAAACCCATCTTAGTGAATGGTTTTTAAAGGGTATTCTATCTATTAATGACCTATTGAATGAAAGTGGCAATTTTTTAACATTCCACGAGTTCCGCGATAAATATTCCTGTGAATCCAATTTTTCACAGGACTATCAAATTGTTAGCGCTATTCTGAAAGGCTTATGGTCTCTAGCCAAGTACTCCGACACCATCAACAAATCATTCTTTACCCGAAATGATAATATCTTTTCCCTGAACGAATAGACCCAAATTAATCCGTACAAGGCTAAGTTTAAGGTACTTCTATAATTTGCTTAACGTCAAGATTCACAACGAAGAACAAACGGCCCTAAACGTTGGAGCGAAAAACTCCCTGTAAAGAAAGACGGGTGGATTAAGATCTTTAAATCACTGAAACACATTTGTAAAGAACTTAAAGTAAATATAAAAGAGTTTCAATTTAAATTAATCCATAGAACGATAGTAACTAAGGAAAAACTATTTAGGTTTGGTATTAAGGCGGGCAATGAATATCTATACTGCGGAGATAAAAATTCAATTGAACACTCTTTTATCGAATGTATGTTTACCAAGTTGTTTACCCAAAAGGTCTTGAACTGGTTCAACGAAGTGAATACGCGCCAAATCTCTCCTACCACAGAGGAGACCTTGTTCGGTATTATTGCAAACTCCCTCGACACAACAATAATACGGAAATTCAACGACACCACCTTATTTATGCGTGATTATATTTGTTCAAGCAAGTTAAAAAGCCTGGACATCTCCATTCAGGAGTTTACCAGTAAGCTACTCATTAAATACAACCTTGAAAATTTGTCTTAATTAAATGTCTTAATCGAGAAGTACTCCTCTCTCCTCAAAGCTAATATATAGTATATCCCCTCCCCAATAATACGACCAGCAATTCATTTCTGAAACGAAAGCTTTATATTAGCTGCAAATAATCCTTTTTTTTAGATAGACTGTGAGAACTTCGTTTTGATCATATTGCATAGGACGTGCTGGAATATTGTACCGTATGAAATGTATTTCGTATAACGTTTTGTAAGTATTGTAAGTAACTGTATGTGTTCAGCAAGTAATGTAAGTAGAGTATTGTATTGTTAGTTGTGTGAATAGCTCGTAATGCAAGTAATTGTATTTCCTGTAACTGCATTCAGTATTGTAATGCCAGCATAAGTAACGTGCATTGTAAGTAACGTTAGTATTACTTTGTAAGTAGAGTATCGTAATGAGGCATTGTAAGTAATGTATGTAGTAATTGTGTTTTGTAAATTAAGATTATTATTTTAAAAAAATTGAGCAAATGGTTTCTTGATGCTCAGTATGTCTCAAGTATCAAAGAGAGAACCAGAGAGAGCCCCTCAAACCCCATGAAGTCTCTTAGGACCGATTTACACGGTACGACTTTGTCGCATAAGACAAGCTTACGTCAGTCCTACGACATGACTAAGGACCATTTACACGCGCACGACATNATCCGGTTTTAGAAGGGCCCGCCGGCCCATTAATAATGTTTTTGATTTTGCGGCTTTGTATCCAAGGGAAGACAAAAACTCACCATGGATATGCCCAACACTTCCTTTCAATGTATATTGTTTGTTTTGGTGTTGCTAGGTGAATACATGACAATAACAAAATGACTAATTTCCGTATTTTATCAAAATGAAGGTAAGCATTTGCTTTTCACCGTTACCAGAACCTACCTTCGAACAAAAAATGCCTGAAAAAATCAAAATAACACTCTTTAAATATATTTTGTAAAGGAAGTCGAGATGATTACAGAAGTATAACGCATGAAAATCAGTGTCAGCTTATTTTAAGGTCTCCTTGGGTAGTTGTGTGGAGTGTTCGAGAAACAATTAAACTCACACTTTCATTCGCATATCAATGTTGGGTTTTTATAAATATCCATAGTATTTCTCTCATATCACTGAAAACTTAATGTACATTATAATACAAGGTTCTAAACTGTAAATGGCTGTCTTCGAATTTTAGAACTACGAAGAGGAACAATGATCACTGATATGATTTATGTTCATCGCCAAATGTTTCACCAATGCGACATTTTGTCTACTAGCCAAAGAGGG